ATTAGAATACAGCCTTCAAGAAAAATGGAAATAGCTATAGTTAAGATTTGTTCAGTTCAACTTCTTTCACCAGCATCATTCAGATTTCAGTCTTCAGTGAGATGAATTAAAGGAGAAATTGTTTCTAAAAACTTATTCTAAACATTTTAAATTAAACCTATTCAAGTGACAATATCTGCTTTTTTTATCCCAGCAAGCCCATAAGTATTTCTCATGCACTGAAATGCCTTCCAAAGTAGATCTCACAGTTGGCAAAAAGGAAGAGGCTGGATCTGTACTCAACATGTCAAAGGCAAGAGAGTTGTTCCTAGCCTCTCTGTGTTGTATGGGGTATCCTCTGTGAAGCTTGGAAGTAATTTAAACTCGTCTTTATGGTTTTGGTCACTATTTTTTATTACTTATTTTCACAATGCTCCTGCTCTGATCCCACAGATGAAACCTTGGCCCCAAGCAAGCCATCAGAAGTGCCCCAGTGCTGGAATCTGATTTCCAAGTTTCAATTCAAGCCTCGCAATCCAAGCTGGAGGCAATGGATGCTGTGGGTGGTTTGCTCCTCTTCTGGATGTTATTCTTTGTCTTCCACAACAGGCACTTCATCACTGAAGATATATGGTGCTTGAGAGATTTGGGGTTGTTCCGCCTGGAGAAGAGATGTCTCTGGGTTCACCTTAGAGCAGCCTCCCTGTACCTAAAGGGGGATTTCTACAGAAAAGAGAGGGAGGGACTATGTATCAAGGAGTGTAGTGGTAGGACAAGAGGGAATGGCTTCAAACTGAAAGAGAGTAGGTTTAGGTTAGATATTAGGAAGAAATTCTTTACTGTGGTGGTGGTGATGCACAGAAACGGGTTTCCCTGAGAAGCTGTGGCTGCCCCATCCCTGTAAATGTTCAAATCCTGGTTGGACGGGGCCCTGACCAACCTGGTCTAGTGAAAGGTGTCCCTGACCATGGGAGGGGTATTGGAAGTAGATGATTTTTAAGGTCCCTTCCAACCCAAACCATTGTATGAGTCTGTGATTTTATTATGAATTCTGGTCTATGAAAAAATTGTCACCCAGAAAATGAATATAATAATACCCCTCTGCCTAACAGTTATCTTATAAAGAAAAACGTAACTCGTAAATTTTTTCCTGAGACATTCAGGTGCTGTGGCCATAGAAGAAGGCTACTAGGAAAAAGATAATTCTGGGCTAAGACTACTATACAGCCATGATATAACTAATGAGGAGAAATTAAAATACTGAATAGCTGTCTCATTCTCCAGACACTATTTGTCCAGGTTGATATTGGAGGCAAGCAACCTACAGTAAATAGCAAGCAGTAACTTGTATATGAGGCAACTGCATTAGGAACTACTTCATAAGGCACGTATACAATGAAGACACATAAAGATAGGCTAAGGTCAAAAACTTACAAGAACAAGGCCTCCCAACCTCTGAGTACTTGACTTTGCTCATTTAGCAACTTTTGAACATTCTTCTATAGAATTAAACTATATATAACTTTAAACCTAACATGCGATTGCTGCTTTTCATAGTATCATGTATGATGAGTCCTGTCTATTAATATATGTTCCTCTACATCAACAAGACTCCACCCAATAACAGAAAGCATAACACTTTGATTTAACCTAGCAAAGACTAGAGTTCCTCTCAACATGTATTCAATTAACAATACATGCAATATATATCCAACACCATGTTTTCCTCAGAAAACAAGAAAAGAAAGATGAGGCTAAACATGCTGTATAATACTTTGGAAACACTCTGCAGGAAATGAAAACACATTTGCAATGTTATTATATTTTCATCTCAATGTTTAGGCATAGATAAATACATTAAATACTATATATAACTTTTTGACTGGTGTATTTTTTCAGTCTCTATCATAAAGCTGTAAGCATAACTGAGTTGAGTAGGGAGCATGTGAAGAGCACTAAGCCACCTCTGCCTGCAAAACCTGTCTTGCAGAGATGAGTTTACCATCAAAATTTTGCTACTATTTTACTATTGGAACAAACGTATTCCAATAACGGAATAACTGAAGTTACTCCAGCATCTAACTAACTGGCAAATTTATTTTAAGCTCAAGAAACCTTTTGTCAGTGTAAGTACAAACTCTCTTATGGGAGTTTGTTGATGTAACTCCATTGGCAGAACCAAACTGGGACATGTAAAAGATGTGAATAAAACTATGGAGTGACTTTTGAAGTCTGCTTAGGCACCACAGCAACTATTTCTGATGTTCAATGAACTGAGCTCTTCCTATGCCTCAAAAATTACACCAAAGGTGGCAAAAAGCAGAAGATTATTTTTACGTATATTTCTGAAAAGTGAAGAAGTTATTTTCTAGGACTATGAAGGAAAACAGCAAGGACAGATTTTAATTCAGTAAGGACATTAGCTATGAATGAAGACTGGCTGTTGCTGACTAGTCCTTTTTCATTCCTGTAACATCACTGACCATCACCATTAATTCCTTATAAAGCACATTCCTAAAAGGCATATTGGTTCTGTTATAATTATCCAATATTCTGAACTTCTCATATACTATCCTCAAGATATTTCAGTTTTCAAGAGAATTCACAAAAAAACTTTCTTGGGTTAGACCCAAGGCTCAGGGTCTCGTGTGAATGAGGACTTGGTCAGACATAATACTTACAAAAAGTAAGAAATGAGGCTTGTCTGGGCTGATCTGCCCTGACACAAATCCAGCTTCCTGCGCTTTTTGGCCATGCTGCCATGGTGCTGTTACAGCATTCCTCATGGTACTTTCAAGTCCATAATCTGCGTTGATTTATCTCAGTTCTCCCAGTGCTGGGCAGTATTAGAGTGACACAAGGTCGTAGTGACAGACCTTTATTTGGAGAAAGGAGGCAATCAGTGGCAATACTTGGCACTAGCAGACCTCTACAATGTGCTCTCTCAAATTGGCTGGGAAAGCACCATCCTCGAGGTGGTGGCCTAAGAATGAGAGGACCAGCGCCACAAAACCCTGCAGCATGGAGGCACAGTGCCCTTGCACCCTCCGGCATAACATGCACCTCAAACCTCTCCAAGAGGACAGCAGCAGCAGTGGGTTATCTATCAGCTGAGCTAACTTTTTGTGTCACAGAGGAATCCCTTACCCAGTCCATCTTGGAAAAGCCTACACTTATGCCTACAATCACAGTCAGAGCCAGCTTTGTTCCCACAGCAACAGAGGCAACTCCTATAACATGACCCAGCTTTTTGGCAGTGCCCGACCTCCTTCTGCCGGAGCCCTGACTCCAACCCTGGCAGGGCATGCTGAGAAGAGGGTTGCTGTGCAACCTGACTGCTGTACAGCCATCCTTGGCACCTCAGGACAGCACTCCTCAGTTAAAGCATGCTTTGATTACTAGATCCATGCATTTTTCTGCAAGGAGTCATTTGTTCCCTTAGCAGCTAACATTTCTGGCTGTATCTTGTGTGTGATCAGGCACAGCTTCCTTCCTCTCATACCCTCTGGAAAAAACTGTGCCTAGCTGGAACGTTTTTGTGTCAGGTTACAGCGCTGCTGACAGCCAGCATTCAAGAACACACAGGCACATGCGGAGATGAAGGCCTGGCAGGAAAGTTTCAGGGCCCAAAGTGTTCCCTATGGTATGCAGAGTGTTTCTTCTGGATGTCTGCTTGCTTTCTGCTTTCTCTTCCTGGTCCCTGCCTCATTCCCTGCACAGCCCCATAGAGATGACTTCTACCTCTAGCCCAGGCTTTCCAGCTTTTCAGTTCAGTTTTAATTATTTCAGGATATCCCAGATGCGATTTGGGGACAGGAAGCACATCTCTGTTTCTCTGCCTTTCCACACTTTCATTGCAGAGTTCTCCATTTATACTTCATCCTGGCCTCTACTCCAGGGCCTTCTGCATGTGTGGTGCAGAGCATTTGGAGGCAGAGTGGAGGTCTTGAAGGTCCTACTGAGACTCCTACGCAGCCTGTGGGGCAGCAGGTTGCACGTGTAGCTACTGGGAACTGGCAAAACCCTTGAGCCTGTGAAGCCAAATGGTTGATGCAGTTCAAGCACATCCTTTCTTGAAAAACAGAGGCATTCAAACATATTCAGATCACCCCGTCTGGGCCCTGACCATTGCTCATTGGGAATTCTCCTGCTTTCTGTGACACTAATTTTAGGACATCATATACATGGCAATAAACATATCCCGATGTCAGTGACTTAATTTAAGTATGACTCCTTATCAGAAGGTGGCTTCACAAGTGACTGAAACAGACTGGAAATGGCTAACAATGACATGATCTCTGATACTCAGCTCTTTCCTAGTACCTGTGGAATCAGCTTGGTGAAGGGTCTAGAGGCTAAGTCCTGTGAGGGGCAGCTGCAGGAACGAGGGTTGTTTAGTCTGGAGGAGACTCAGGGGTGACTTTATCACTTTCTACAACTACCTGAAAGGAGGTTGTAGGAGGTGGGGATTGGCCTCTTCTCCCAGGCAACTAGTGACAGGATGAGAGGACACAGTCTTAAGCTGTGCCAGGAGAGGTTCAGATTGGACGTCAGGAGGAATTTCTTCACAGAGTGATTATACACTGGAATGAACTACCCAGGGAAGTGGTGGAGTCATCATCCCTGGAGGTGTTTAAGGAAAGACTGGACATGGCACTTAGTGCCATGGTCTAGTTGACAAGGTGGTGTTAGGTCACAGGTTGGACTCCATGGCCTCAGTCTTTTCCTTCCCGATTCTGTGATTCTGTAACTTCCATACACACAAACACAAACCCCCTCCCCCAGCCAAACAGAAAAGTTTTAAACATTTTACACCTCTGAGCGCTTGGCAAAAGGTGCAATAAAGATTAAAACTAAGACCTCCCCCAGAAATACCCCAATCACCCCACACTGACCCGCCCGGAGCCGCTCAGGCCGCTCCTCCCCGGGCCCGCCCTCGCGGAGTCGTTGCAGGAGCCGCCGGTGTGGGGTCGCGCACGCGGGCCGGTGCAAGATGGCGGCGCCCGTTCGCTCTGTCTGACATGTCGCCTGCTGCGCAGACCGCGGGCCGTGGCGGGGCCGTATCTTTGCGGCGCTCTTTCGGCCTTCGGCAGCTGCCACGACGTCGTCCTCTACGACCAGCGTTAGCTGATGGGGCTGTGTGGAGGGTGGGGGGGTCTGGGGCCGGGGTTAGGCGGTCCCACACAGTGCTTCTGTGTCCCGTAGGGCGGGGTTGGCCGCCCCCCGGGGCCCACGGGCAGGTTGAACTGCGTGCGCTGGGTTCGTCGGCGGGACCGCGGTGAGTAGCCCTTGTCCCTTCGGGTGTGGGATGCCGCGGGGGGCTCGGAGCTGGTTCCCCTCGGGGCCGGGCAGCTGCTGTCCTCGTAGGGGAGGGTCGGGCCGGCAACAGAGGGGCTGTGCTGTAAACTGAAGGAAATGGGGAGTTGCAGCTTATCCTCTCGCCTTAAACTAGGCTTTCCGGTAGGTATTTCACAGAATAACAAAATCAGTGAGGCTGAAAGAGACCTTTCAGATCATTGAGTCCAACCTATGACCAAACACTTACCACGTCAGCGAGACCATGGCACTGAGTGCCACGTCCAGTCTTTCATTAAACACCTCCAGGAACGGTGACTCCACCACCTCCCTGGGCAGCCCATTCCAATGTCTAATCACCCTTTCTGTGAGAAATTCTTCCTAATGCCCAACCTGAACCTCCCCTGATGCAGCTTAAGACTGTATCCTCTCATCCTGTCACTAGATGTCTGGGAGAAGAGACCGACCCCCACCTGGCTACAGTCTCCTTTCAGGTGGTTGGAGAGAGAGCTAAGGTCCCCCCTGAGCCTTCTCCAGGCTAAAAAATCCCAACCCCAGCTTCCTCAGCTGCTGCTCATAAAGTTGTGCTCCAGACCTTTCACCAGCTCCATTGCCCTTCTCTGAACTTGCTCCAGCACCTCAGTGTCCTTCTGAAATTGAGGGACGTAGAACTGGACACAGTACTCGAGGTGTGGCCTCAATTTGACATTACTCCTCACAGGAATGTGACTTGCCAAACCCAGGTGAGCTTCCCAGTGAGTGTGGGGATTTGGTTGGGCTGTCTGCTTCCAGCCTCACAGCCAAGGGCACCCTGGGAGGATGATTGCCTGGAGCTGCGGTGTTCCTGAGAGGTTGGTGGCTGTGCTGCTTGAGCTGCCACCAGGCTCTTTAGTAAGGGTTTGGAGTCTTACCTGTTTTAACTTTGTAAACTGATTCTCAGTGCCTTATGAGCAATCTCTGACTATACAGCTCTAAGTTGCATAGAGTTCATATCCACGAAAAATTATGATCTTTAGATGGATAGGAATCTTTGAGATACTTAGGAGGCTTTTGCTTGATAGTAATTCCAAGATTTAGCGTTGCTTAGTGCAGACTGTTCAAAGGCACTTATTCTTGCCCTTAGGCATTTATGGAAAATTACTGACAAAGAGAAATGGGGCCATTGATTAGACTGTTAATGTAATGTGCAGGTTGCCTTTTTGGAGGAGATGTACTGAGGTGAAAACATTAGTGTTTAATGGTGATAAGACCTGCCATCCTTCAACTGATTGCACTAAAACACATTCTTCTTAAAACTGATTAAAAGAAATTATTTTCAGGGAACGTGGGAGTTAAATTTTCATGTGGGACCTTTGAATTCTGTTTGATTAGATTTCTCTTGCTGTGTTTTCCTATCCTTCAAAAAGACCAAACAAAAGCCCAAAATATTAATTTACAGTGTTGGATTTGAGATTCTTTTGGAAAGATATTTTTATCATATTCATCCAGAACTTTAAATATTCCTGTGGCTTTTCTCTTTATGCTGTAATTTTTTTTTTTTTTGCTCTTAAGCTGTTCTGCCCAGTGCAATTCCTATTAGCCATACTTTATTTTGATGGAAACTTTGGTTACCAGTGATATTATCTGACTTGTAACCAATGTAACTGCTTATGTTTGTTGTCTGTTGTTACAAAAGTAAGAGTTCTCAAAACTTACCAAAACGTATTTTTTAGCTTCTGAAACAGAGTTAATTTCTGGTGGATCTGATAAACAACTTATTCTTTGGGATTGGAATGGTGTAGAAACATGGAATAATCAGGTAAGCTAGAGTAACCCCTTTTCAAAGCTCCCTCTTCACTAGTTTCTCACTAATCTCAAATTATCTGTTTTGTCTATATTTCTGGTTCATACCTCATTGTTTTACTTTGACTGTTGAATCCCATGTGTGTATCCTTGTAATTGTTGGTATTATGTCGTGCTGTGTTTTACTATAAATGTTGTTTCCTCTTTTCTGTAGTTCATCTTTTTCAAATCAGAAAATTAACTAACTAATCAGTCATCAGGTGGATTTGTTTAGCATGTCTGAAAGATATTGATTGTCTCTTCTTTACTCATCAGCTTTCTGACGTCATGTGGCTCCTTTCTTTAAGCAACTTTAAAATCTTCAAACTATGAGATCCATTCTGTGTTGACATTTTCTGTACCCTCCTTCCTCATTTCCTTATGTCCATTTCTAGTGATTTCCAGTCAATCTGTGCAACAGTGTAATGTTTGTTTGTAGGTAGTCTTAGAAGGGTGGTATACAAGTTGGGGTAGGTGCTTAACAAAAATAAAATTAAAAAATGCGTGGAACAATTGAGTTTTGTCAGAGAAATTGAGAAAAGAAAGGAGACATGCTAACTTATTATTCATACTGTAAAATATAAGGCAAAAGATGGAGTACTGTGTAATAGAGCCTTCAGAATGAACTGAAATTTAGATAAAAAACTCTCTATTATCTAACTTTTAAAATCTTGCTTATTAGGCATTGTTTTCTGAATGGCTGTGTAGGTAACTCGTTTCACTGGCTGTCTCAAACTAGATTAGGCTTGGCACTTTAAAGTGCATGAGAATGCATAGTAGGGAGAACGTAATTGATGTGGGAACGTTCTTGGAAGTAAGTTATTTCTGATCCTGATCCACTGTAACTATTTATGCATTTATTTAAGATAACATACAGATTTCTTATTAACTTTTTATGCTGATGTGGTGCACAGCCTTATGGCAATCATTGCAAAAGAATGTGGCTAAATATACACATTTTAATGACAGTTCTAGACTAGTGTAAACTCTTAAAAACAGACAAAATTCTATATCAGACCGATCAAAGATTCTTGCTGGGGCATACCAAGCTATATTTTGGAAAGAGATGTCAGATATGTTTGTGATAAAATTTGTATAAATGCTGGATGATTGGTAGTTGCAGAATTAAAGTCATTTTGGTCTTTATGTTTATCAGGAACAGATTGCAAATTGAATCACCTTTATTTATTCATTTAGGAAGTAGATGCTTAAGTCTAGGCTTAGAGGTTTTGTTTTTCATGTTGTCATTTTGAAGGAATAAAAAGCTGGTTTTATTTGTGAGAACATGCTAAACATTGCTGCTAGAGCTGCTGTAGTGCTACTATTTCATTGTGTTCTCTGTTCTCCTTCACCAAGGTTCTCCAGACTTTTGTGAGATGTTCCTTAGGGTGAGGGATAAGAGAAGTAGAAGAAGGAAGGAAAACTGCTCTTCCTAATTTCTATGCTGTTTCAAACTTTCCTCAAGGAGTGATGATGTTTGTATAGTGTACACAGCAACATTTAATTCTGTTCAGCTTTGAGCAAAATCAAGTTAATGTTCATTATGTGCTGTATCCTTTCTCTGGGTTTCTTAGAATATGCTATAGCTTAAGCATAGTTTGTAGATGCTCTGCCATTGCAGGTACACAACTCATTTTCAGTATTAAATTCTCTCAGATAAGTTACTGGAATTTAAAAATTTGTAAAATTTTCTTCTGTTCAGCCTGTCAAAAGTGTTCCCCTCAAAGGCCACACGGAAGCTGTTTGTGCTGTGGATGCTGTCTACCAGTCAGAGGAACCTGACCTTAACCTGCTAATAGCTTCTGCAGCTTCTGACTCCACTGTGAGAATCTGGTCTCGGCATGGTTCAGAAGGTAACATTTTTGTAACATTAGGGACAACATACTGGCTGGATGAAAGTGATAAATGTTTATCCATTTAAGTAATAGACTAAATACTAACATCTTTTAATGCAACTATGTTGATTTCTCTTAGACTTTGGTACATCAAAACACTGTATTGCTCTTTTAAAGCCTTGGGTCAGATTTGTTCTGCAGAATGATTTACCTTTATTTTTCATCGGTGATGTGTTGACTAAATTTACTTTTTTTTAATATGTATTCAGAATCTGATGATATGAGCCATCATTTTGCCCTGTAACATGGGAGCAGACTAGCTGTATGTGCATGTGAAGTAAAATTATGTAGTACAGTCATTAATGCTGGCATTAGAAAGGTGTCACTTGTTTGTTACTATTGATTTGAGTCCAATGAAGTTTAGGATAACAGGATCTTGACCTTTTTGTGAACTAGACTCTTGCATGGACACATGGGAAAACGGCTTTTTGAAATACATAAGAAATAAATAGGGTAGATAATCTAGATTTAAAGTGTTATTTGCTAGTTGAGTTGTAGTGACTGCATCTCTTAAGGTACTTTCTTCCTTATCTGGTGTATTTGAAGATTTCGCATTCCCTTGCCTGCATGAGAGAGATAGGTGGGAGGTGCCAATCTTCAGTCCCATGTGCTGGAAGACATTTCTCATGTTCCTAGAAAACACTGTGAAATCCTGTCCTTTCCATTTTGTTTTGCTGTTTTGATTTCCAGAGATGGAGAGACCAATTCTTCGGCTGTAGAGAGGTTTTTTTTGCTATCCTGTTGTTTATTTTGATCTGGATGGCTTACCAGTTTAACCATTTCTAGATCTCAGAGGTGTTTGCAGGTTTTTCTTCATCTCTCTAGCTGCTCTTCTAGCAAATGGATTCAGTTGTAGCTGCCTGTGTAGTGAATGTTGTTGCCACTGGATATATTTTGCAATATTTATTGCTTCTGATGTGTTATCACAGTGAAGCTGTATAGATCTAATACTCAATGGAGAATAGTGACTTATCTTCTAACTGATTCTGGATGTATTTCTATGGCCCCACAGAAGATAATGTTATTATTTAGGCTTCTAAAAAGTGTAGAAGATTTTTAGCTGCTTAAGAGAAAAATAGATGGGAAATTTTAACTATATAATGTATTAGGAAAGGACAGTGCAACTGTAATACTTACAGTGAATAAGATCAACACTGTCTGTTCCTGTTTTCCAGCTAAATGCATTGAAATTCTGCAGTTTGGAAATGGATTTGTTATGGATGTCTGCTTATCCTTCTTGCCTGGCAGCAATGGTAAGTACAGCTGCATGTCTTGAATATCAATGCAGGAAACATAAAATCTAAGAAATCCCCCAAACAGATTTTCACTTGACTGACTCCAGACTCTTATGCCACAGTTTTTGTTTTCTATGGAATAACCTAAGCTGATGTTTGTATTTAAAGATTTTCAATGAACTCTTCTTAGTAATTAGAAAAACACCGACTGATTACAGTGTCTTCAAAATGACAATGAAATGGAGTTTTTAGTTGAACTCTTGAAACTGAGAGCTTTAAAAGGAGGTAACAATGCTGTATGTGAATAGGATAGGATGATCATAGAATATACTGAGTTGGAAGGGACCCATCAGGATCATTTAGTTCAGCTCCTGGCCCTGCACAGGACCATTCCCAAGAGTCACACCATGTGCCTGAGAGTGTTGTGCGAATGCTTCTTGAACTCTGTCAGTCTTGGTGCTGTGACCACTTCTGAGGGGAACCTGTTCCAGTTGTCAACCATCCTCTGAGAGAGAAACCTTTTCCCAGTATTCAGCCTAAACCTCCCCGACTCAGCTTCGTGCCATTTCCTCGCGTCCTGTCACTGGTCACGAGAGTGAAGAGATCAGTGTCTGCCCCTCCTCTTCCCCTCACGAGGAAGTCTCCTCTCAGTCTTCTCTTCTCCAGACCAAGTGACCTCAGCCTCTCGTATGGCTTCCCCTCTGGACCCTTCACCATCTTTGTTGCCCTCCTTTGGATGCTCTCTAAAAGCTTAATGTCTTTTTTGTATTGTGGTGCCCAAAACTGCACATAGGACCCAAGGTGAGGCTGCACCAGTAGTTGCACCTACTCCTTATTGTGCTGCTGTATATGTTTGTTCTTGAATTGAAGGGCAAGAGCCAGAAAAAGAACTCTCAGGCCTGCATTGAAAATTACAGATTAACAAGCAGTGCTTATCACCTGTTCAGTCTTAAATGTGAAAAAACCTGAGATGCTGAACTAGTTTAACCTGACTGTTCAGTATGGTTTATATAGTTTTCTATTAACATAAATGCTCAGATTTTGTAGCCTGCCACAGGCACATTCTTTTGTTGCAAATATGTAGAAACTTTTTTTTTTTTTTTAAGCTACATGTATCCTCAAGCCAGATACACAAGTTAAGTTTTTGTTTAAGTATCATTACAGTCTTTCACGTGGATGGAGATGTGCTGGGGTCCCAAGAGAAAAAGTACTAAATTTTCTTACTGTATCTAGAGTTTTCAACTCTTTGCTGAATGCATTTCACACTGATATGTTGTTTTGATTATATGCCTCCAGAGTAGTTATTCACCAGCTTATTTTATTCTTTGGCTTGTGATAATTCTGGGAGATATGAAAACTCTATCAGGATATGTTGTCCCATTTGAAAATACCAATGTCTGTTTTCAGGGTGTGTCTGATACCAAAAGCATCATCTGCACCAGTAAAGAGCTTTTAAACCTCACTCTCTTTTTCTCCTGTGAATGTGTTAACAGATGGTTGTTAGATGAAGTTAAAAGGCTTGAGGATAAATTAAAATCATTACCTCCAATATGAATTTTGTTAGAAGTGAAGCATCTGTGATGCCAGCTTAATGAGTATATCATTCATATTGCAAAGCAATGGATTATTTCTTCATTTATGATACTGTACAGATAAGAAATAGTCACTAACACTCTAGAGTAGTGCATCTATTTAATGTTGTATATAAGAGAAGTGATTATTCACTTTGGAAACACCTTAAATTAAGATTTATCATATTAATTCTTAAAACTAAATGCTTTTGAAACCAAAATTGCATAGAGTACTTGGAGCTTCTTTAAATGGTGGAGTAGTAAGCATTTTCTTTAGCTGTGAAAAGCTCCCAGAGTCCCCCAAACACAATTTTGCTGAAAGTTATGTTAAGAACTTGACAGTCCTTTACTATGGACTCTTTCCATCCCCATTCAAATTATTATCCTAAGTAACACAGTGCTCATAACATGAGAAAGAGTACTTTTCTGAAGAACTGAAATTATTTTCGAATGAGAAGTTATTTGCATAGGTTTTGTATGGAATTAGAAAAAAAATTCCTATACTTTGGTGTTTTTCATGCCAATGAACTGTGTTGCTATAATTGTCACAGAATAGTTTAGATTTGGAACCACAAATTTACTATTAGAAATGTTTCTTGGAGAAATCTATAGAGGGGCTTTTAATATAGCATAGCCATATTGCAGTTCTCTGTTTTCTCTATAAACCTGACATAATCATCCATACAACAGAACTGCTTTTATTCAGAGGAGTATGTTAATTCTGAAATCTAAATAAAGTAGCTTAAAATATATTATTAAAAATATCTCTACTGATCATTTTGTCAGAAACGTTAATCTGTAGTGGCAATTTGGAATTTTTATGAGCTTCGGGGAAAAATGATCTATGAAAACTTCAAGAGTTGCTCTGAAATCTTTATGAAGGCTGTGTTGTCAGCTGTATTAAGATTTAAAAAAATCTTTTCTCTTGGGGAAAATCTTCATTTCTTAAGTCAGGAATTAAATACAGAATTATTTTTCTGAAAATCGTAAACTACACTTCTAAACTAGAAGCATTTGCGGTAACCTCTAATTTCACCAAGCAAAGAAATGTAAAGCTTACATTGAAATTTGATTCGTACACAATGGATGCTTTAGCTTTCAGAAGGCATTGATGTTCATGATGCCTAGTATTTTAACTGATTGTCCTCAAAAATAAATTATTAAAAAAAAATTGGCCCATTTTTGTGAAGAAGTCAAATGGGGAAAGCTGATAGACTTCTCATGAAAATCTGACCAGTCATTTGCAGCTGGAATACAGCTTAAACACTTTACTGACTGCTTAAGTTGAGGAGTTTCTGTACATTTGTTTCTGAGTCTTGAAGAAGAGCTTTGTGCTGTTTTGGTTGGTTGTCTGCAGAACTCTGCTTCTAAAATGCTGGGAATAGGATTTACTATTTTACAAATCTTGATCAACTCTTTTGTCACATTCTGTGTTTCTTCCTACCACTTGGATAAGTGCCATGATGTAGCTTGGCCTTTGACAGTAAATAATTGTCTCCTCAGAACTGAATTACAACAGATGGAAAAAGAGCAAGAGAACTTGAAAAAGCTTTGCTGATCCAACTTTTCTTATTTCCTTTGTAGGACTTTTATCTCAGTAAGATTCTAATAACCTAGAACATTTATATAAGAAACTGTATACTGGTCTGTTTTTGCCAGTTACACATTTCTTGATAGAACTTTTGAGTGAAACTATTTGCATTTGTCTGCTACAGCAACTAGATCATAACTCTGCCCTTGTTTTTATTAAAGTTTCACTCCATGGAGTAAATATATGGTTAGAGTAATGGACTGTTTCCAAGAACATCCATTGTGTTGTATTTTGTGGAAGAAAACCTCATCCTTGCCCAATTTCTGTGGACCCGACAACCAGGTCTTCTTTCACAACAGCTCATTGCCTCCAGTTCAAAGGGGGATTTTTTTTAGCCCTATGTAAAATGAGGGGGAGATGGAGGTGAAATGTGACTTAGATGTTGGAAAAAAGCGGCAAATGATGGAGGTACAAGAATGTGAAATGCAGCTTAAAAGTGCAAGAAGAATAGCAGATAACTAGGCACAGATTTGGTACAAGCAGAAAGAGGAAATTAACATACAGCATAAAAGTATTATGAATATTCAAGTTGATTTTGGTCTATCCACACTAAAGGAAATAGTTGATTTTAGTGAAATTTAGTATGTTGTTTTCTACTCAGACTTGAGAAATGCAAATGTCTAGCCCTGAGAACTTATTTCTTCATAATTTTATAATGAATTCATTTTCTTTTACTATTTCAGTCCCTAGCAGTAGTACTTCATCCTTAGGTCCTAAAAAAAGAGTAGAGTAAGGCTTACCTGTTTCCCCCCATCATCTTTTATAGGAGAGATGAACTAATACACTGCCAAACTTCTCTTCTTTTACCCTTAGACGTAACTTTGCTTGGTTTGATTCTATAGACTTATGGGGTTTATGCACTTTCTAGGATAGCCGGTGGAAGTAAACTACTACTCAAGACTTGAGTACGTTTGTAAAAATGCTCTTTGCTTTCATATTCTTGGTTACAGATAGTGGTGATCTGTCTTCCTTTTTTGGTCTGTCTTTTTATTTGCTGTATAATAATTGTACTAAGTTCATCTAAACTTACTTCAGTTGATTTAGGAACTTGAACTGCATTAGTTTTGAGTCATTTTGTTTTGCTCCTTGCTTCCTCTTTATTTAGAGCAAATACCTGTTGGTATCAATAAAATATATTTAATTAAAAACCTTGAACTTCCTACAGATATGGGAGTGTGAGGCGAACTACTCTTGTTGGCATCTTAAATATTTGCAGATATTGTTTGCATGCAGAAATAACTTCTGAGTTTTGTGTTCTTGAGATACTAGCCTATTTCAAATAGTGTTAGGCATGTAGTGTAGAAAACATTAAAAAGTGGTATCACACTTGCCTGTCTGTAGATGGTAATATATTTCTTAATACTATATTAATTTTTAAATTAGCTTTATATTTTTTTCATATCTTAGAATATTAGATTTTATGAAAAATGAAGACTTTCTTTTCCTTTCCAGTACCAATTCTGGCTTGTGGTGGTGACGACTGCAAAATAAGTTTGTTCATACAGCAGAATGGTCAGGTAATTGCAGTTTTTGTCTCTTGCTTAGAACATTACTCATTTCTTCTGCTTCTTTTCATTTGTGCTATAGTTTAAGTTCTTCATTAAGTACTGTGTCTAGATAGCCCTCACATACAACTGCCCCTTTTCAAATAGTTCATCCATTTTTCTAAGTAATGGTGAAATGCACATACAGAATATTGAAGTTGGTTTCAGTGTATGAAAGTGTTTTTCTTAACTTTTTTTCCCTGTGTGAAGATAGCCTGTGTTTCTATTCCCACTGATACAAAATAGCTGCAACTGTCCTTTATTAAGTATCCATGCATTGAGTGGTTCATATGGAAATGATATTACTTTCAGTCTATAAATTCTTATAATAAAACTGTTATGATTTATATCTGAGGAATTTTATGGGGTTTTTTTGTTAAGTATTTTACGCTAAGTATAATTTTATGCTAAGTATGCTCTTGATGTTTGAATGCTTTTGAACATCAAAAAACATATTTTAGGAGTATCTGATCTTCTAAAAGCACACACATTTTTCATGTATTATTTGGAAGCTGGCAATTCTAATTTTTCATACAGACGAATGTTCCTTTGGAGCAGTAGAAAAACATTATGTCCTCCCTTGCATCTGTTAGATTCTAAAGCATGTGTTGAATGACTATTTTCCAAAACAGAAGTCAGTGTCACTTTTTTTCTCTCTCTCACTCCCTTAAAAAACCCCTCAAACCACAAGCACTGCCCCAATGCACCAGTGAAGCTACGAAACCCCCATTGAAACTGGCATCTGTATTCTTCTGGATCTTCTGTTCAGGCCCAGTGCCCTTGGAGATTAAAGAATAGACACTCCTTTTTTCTTTCTTTTTTTTTTTTTTTGAGAAAGATTAAAGCTACTTTATGGATAATTTTGCCAGTTCATGTTGCCATATACAGCAATAAGATATTTTGGTTGCTGTTGTTATCAATAAAATAAGTACTTCCTTGTTTGTCTGCTATGTTCAGTGATTTCGTGACTACTAAGCAGAAAAGAAGGGTACTGTCTAAGATTTTAAAATTTTTATTTTTCTTATTTAGCTCATGAGTTAATTTAGTGAATTCTGTGGGAATTAGCAATGGCAGAATGCCACATGATTCTCAGTGTGCTAAAGAAAGACTTATCTCAGGGGCTGTGCAGTTGATTTTTCTCATTCAGAGTCTGTAACTTGTTTTCTTGTATGATTCAGATTAACAAATTGTATAGATTTGACTGCCAAAAATGTTCAGAGATACATAACTTATTTTGCCAATTGTTGGCCAAACTTTTGAGTATAGCAATAGTCTTAGCCATTCTTAAATGCAGTCAGTCTGTGGAGGATAAAGAAAGGTAACTTGTTTATTCAAGTTTCATCTCCATTTTCATGAGCAAGTTTGTGGTGTTTTCTTTTTTTTTGGAAGTAGTAGAAAACTTTATTTGTACAAGGGATGAGCAATTTTCTCTTATTTTACATGTGTTATTTTTCGCACCTTCAATTTTAGAAAGCGTTTTCACCAGCTGTTCTGGCAGAGTTGGTGTTCAGAGTATCTCTTAAATGAGGTGGGACTTCTTGTTGGTGCCTATCTTAACTTTCCAGAACATCTCTTTTAACTAAGTGGACTGTGTAGGTCTCAAAGAGAAGAGACCAAATCTGATTCCTTGTAAAAGTGCTTGTGTGGTGCATTGCTAACAGAATTAAAACATCCTAGCAAGCCTTCTGACATAAATTCCTTCCTAGCTGCTAAAGGCAGTTTCTCCTCTTTAGTTAGATTCTCTCAGATCTGCTGACACCTTTTTAGATGGCTAGTGTAGTACTCTCAAAGGTATTTGAAGGAAGTGTTACCGTTGTCCTGCTATTTTTTACTAGAACTTAGCATAGGAGAGTCATTAGAATCTAAACTCTGTTACTCCCTTAGTGGTAAGGATTTGTGGCTCTGTCCTGTTAATTGTGACTCTTGTAAACCACTTACTTTAGTTAACATCCTAAAAAAAATTGTATGAATCCAGAGGTAGAATGTACATTCATGACGGGGCATTCTAACGAAACTTAAAGGGCACTGTTAGATGCTGAGGGAGGATGAGGCATCTTCAGTTAGCTAATTCAGGCTACCTTTTGGTTGAAACATTTATTCATTAACAACTGCTTGGTTTTTGAAATTGAATGGACAGGCTTTAAATATTTTTAAGATTCCCTACCCATAGATCCCTTCCTGTGTTAAGTAGTAGAGAGAAAAATAAACTATTTGCTTTTCTGTCTGTTGAAAGAGGGTATTGATTTATGAGAGTATCCAGGGAAAAATCTTTCAGGAACCATTATATGTCTTCCTGCTTGAGGTATAATATCTATGGATGTGGCCTATGGAGGGGAAATAAGTAAACCAGGGGATCAAAATAGAACTTTAAACCAAAACATTTCTGTATTCAGCTTGGTTACTCCGAGAAGATGGTGCAGTGCGTGTTTGACTGGGTTTCACCCAAATAATTTGGCCTAATTGAAAAGTGGAGTAAGAGACTCAAAGACAATTTAGGCTCTTTCTAATCTGATGAGATAGACAGATGCAAGAGGGATATCACATCTAGCATCTGCTGCAGAAAAAATGAGAAGACTTGAACCTGTGTTGCCAAATTTTCCAAACAATGCTACTAGCCTGGTCCTGAAGAAGATGTACCCCAAGTGTGGGCAGAATTAGTTGTTCAGAGTGTGCTGAACATGTCCACAGACAAACTGGCTTCATTAGTTTTGCTACCTACAGAACAGCTTTATTCTTTGCTTAAAAGAAAAGAGACCAGATTGTTGCTTAGCAGCAATGTTCAGAGATTAGTTAAGAGGCATGGGAAAGCCTGTGAAGTAGGTGAGTCAGACCATGAGGTTTTGTTCAATTTAACTGTTGGTACTCTAACTTCTTATGTAACCAGTGAAGACCAAGTGGAAAACTGAAATAGAGAAGGAGAAATATGAGCTATAGAAACAAAATCTGTAAAAAAGAGAAGAGTGACAGCTCAAAATACTGGTAAATGTAACCTAGACAATAATAAAAACTTTGACTGAGTCACTTAAAAATAATGACCATATGCATCTGCAAGGAGCTTTATATTGATTCAATTTTAGAACAGAATACATCTAACAAACTGAGTATGTGATACTAAGAAACACAGTCTTCAAAGAAAAGGGCAAAAACAATACAAGAAACCCTAGCAGAAGGCATAACAGCAGCACTACTGCTTGCTCAGATTCAGTGGACAATTTTTATTTTTATGGGAAACAATATCTTGAAAACTTTGGGTCAATCATAGAATATCTCAAGTTGGAAGGGACCCATAAGGTTCATGAAGTCCAACTCCTTGCTCCTCACAAGACTACCTAAAATTAAATCGTATGACTAGGAATGGTCACAGTCATGCTTCGTGGCATCTTCCTTCTGTATGTGGTAAAGGACCTTGTGTTCACCGCTGTTTTCCAACCACTGTACTGACACTGTTCAGATGGGTGCAAAGTTGAGGATGATGTGATAGGAATGGGAAAGACAGCACCATGAGTTTTTCATTTAAGGGAGTGAACGTATTTACAGAGGTATGGGGATATCCCTCCTCAGCAACGGGACCACATACACCATCTGGTGCTAGTATTACTGCTGATGAGTGAATATGAGGTAATGAAATTCAGAAACCTCCACCTTAAACCAGGTGAATTGCCACCAAGTTCAAGGGGACTATGCAATGTAAGCATGTAAAAATAAAAATTAATAGGCTTCTAGCTGACTGGTTAAGAGTGCTTGTTCTATAGCACAAAGAAACTGAGTACTTGACTTAAAGCTAAGTAGTGCATAAAAGCCCATTTGGGAAATGACTTAGAAACCTGGGGTGGTATTAATAATCTCAAAGTAATTAGTTTTACTCTTTAAAGAAAGAACAAATGACTGCTTTTTGTAATAGTTCTTTTTGATGTGAGACGATGAGGGTGATTAGAGAAGAAACATGCCACAACACCTTGAAATTAAAAAAAGGAAAATTATTAGATGTATGTTTAGATTAATGTTAAAGTCAAGTTTTAGGAGATGGGCACACTAACATTAACAGAACCATAAAAGAGAAGTATTTTAGCAACAGTTCAGCCGAAGCCAATCTTTCATTTGGAAAAAACCTTACCAACTTACCTTGGTGAATATAAAATACAGAGCATTATGTCAAAGATGGTGTAAATGAATAAATAAATACATGTTTACTGTCTGAAATATGAATTGCTAAATTTTTTTTTTTAATGTATTGTCAGAAACATGTAGTCTTGAGGAAAAATCTTAGGTTGCTGTTTGATCTTGCTTCCTGGAGTGTTCCTGCCTTTACTTACACATAATATGTTGGGTGCTTAATATAAATATTGATCTGGAATGCCACATCCAGAAGTACCAGTGAGTCCAGAAGTGACTAGCTAAATGAGGCTTAGATGACCGTGAGAACACATTCTTAAGACCAAAACTTTCTGATTTGGAAGCATCTGATCAGCTATTCTAGCTTGGTATTTCATATATAGATTGTTCTGTAATTTTAGGGGCATTTTACAAAGGCATGTCATGGGACAAGGGCCAATGGGTTTAAACTGAAAGAGGGTAGGTTTGCAGTAGATACTAGAAAGAAATTCTTTGCTGTGAGGGTGGCGAGGCACTGGAACAGATTGCCCAGAGTTGTGGATGCCCCATCCCCGGAAGTGTTCAAGGACAGGTTGGATGGGGCTTTCAGCAACCTGATCTAATGGAAGGTGACCCTGCCCATGGCAGGGGCTTTGGAACTAGATGATCTTTATTGTCTCTTCCAAAGCAAACCATTCTATGATTCTGTGACTGCAAATGTAGAACAAGGAGAAGCCAATGACAATGATGGGAAGGTGATTTTGGAGAGTATCAGAAACTTTGGGTGAATGAGAGAGGCACCAATTTCTGAGTATGGTTTTTTCATACTACAGATTTTTCCTTTGGCTGAGTTACTGTTGATTACCATCAACTCTGTAGCAGAAGAGAGAGATTTTGAGAAAGAGCAGACATGCAATGAGAAAGGCTCTTATTTTTACTCCTAGATAGGGAGAAAGAGCTCAGTTGCAGAGTTGTGCTGATAGCAGAGGCTATCATTTAATCTTAGCTCTTAGTAGGCCTAGGTAAGGGATTTAGCAGAATATAAATGCCAGAAATAATGTGATATTTATTCATACTAAACTACACTAGTGTTTTAACGGTAATGGTTATTTCAGACATTTTAAGTCAACTTGAGATAAAAAAGTGTCATGAAAGTGTCAAAGAGCTGTTTCTGGGCAAAGAAAAATAGAAATGGTTTAAATGCTAAGTAAGCAGTAAACACTTAATTGAATCAAAATAAAATGGTAACATTATAAGAGAAATTATTTGTCAGGTCATTCTGGCATTATGTCATTCTTTGTGTACCGCAGTAAACCTGATAAAGATAAAAAAAAATTTTATCTTTATCGTAGGGAGACTGTAGCCTCTTGAGGGTGTGCACCTTAAATTCACATTCTTTCCTACTCATGTATGGGTAATGCCATAATGTAACGTGTTTATCTAATGGTGGCAAAACCAAAATGGCTTATGAGAATCTATCTGTAAGCACAAATGTTTAGTAGCAGCTGAATTTTTTCCAGTTCAAGTAGTGTAGCTGTAAATATAAAAGTCTTGAAAAACCAAAGCTCGTTGGTGATATGTGCATAGTAATTAAGTGCATTTCTGTGATATAACAGGAATTCTTGTTCAGTTTCAGAAAACATTAATACTCCCTGGACATGAAGATTGGATAAGAGGTGTTGAGTGGGCAGTCTGTGGTCAGTATGAAAGATGAATAAAGTGGAATACTGGTTTAATGACAGTACTACTTGTATTACCCCTCCAGTAGATGACTTTGATGCACTGTAGCACCTCAGCTCTTGCAGTTGTGATGTTTGGTTTCCTGAGGTGGTGGTACTAATATTAACAATCAAGATGGAACTTTGTGTCCTGTTAAGATGTAAACATTTTTCTTGCTTGCTTCAAGTATGTTTGCCTGACTGATACCTAAATGCAAACAAATTGGAGTTTTAGCAATAAACAGATATCTGTATCTGAGTGAGAAAGAGTTGGCTGCTTTTTCAGTGGGGAGAGTAGGGGGAAATAGTCCTTTTCTCTTTTCTTCTCCTGCTTCCCCCTCTTTTTTTTTTTTTTTTTAAGAATAAGAAATTAAGAGGATAATGTTTTCAGACGTTAACTAATCAAATAGCTGGCACCAATAAAATAGATGGAATTAGAGGAACTCCAACCCTGAAGAAAAGAAAGGAGGAAAGGAGTTCTTGACAAGTATTGAGACTAATTGGTAGAAATCCAACAGCAACAGCCATAAGTAGTAGGGAAGCATATGTAGAACAGTATATGTACAGTATTTACCATGTTTTCCACATTTTATAAGCAGGGATATGTTCCTAGTCAGTGTGTTATAAATTCATAGAGAGTTTGAAATTAGAAAGTGAGTTGATGTTGAAATAAAACAACAACTTGTCGTATGTTGTATGATATTGTTTGATGTTGTATGTTGTATGATATTGTACACAATATGTTTTGTATGATATTGTGTACAATAGGAAAATTTGGATAACACTGTAGGTGCGTTTTTGGAAAGAGGGTAGGTTAATCATGGCAGTGACTGAATGAAAAAGCAATGAGAATGTGGGTCTAATTTTTTCTTTGAAAACAAACAGGGGAAGACCTTTTTTTAGCAAGCTGTGCTCAGGATTGTTTGATAAGAATTTGGAAAGTGTGTACAAAATCAAAGCAACTTCCAGAAACTGAAGATGATTCCATAAGATTGAAAGAGAATGTTTTTACTGTCAAAGGTAGGTAACAACTGTAAAATTCTCTTGCACAACTTTTCACTTGTGTATCTCTTCATGGTTTTAGGCGAGCTAACAAGGTGGTTGCCATCTAATTTGATTTGTTTCTTGTATAAAAAGACTGTGAGATGGATTTGACTGCCTTATTTTTAGCTGTTAGAAAAAGCGGAGTTACTGTTTTAAAGCTGTAACTATGTAAAGTTAATGATGTGTTACAAGCAATGGTGAAGCAGTGAGAGAGCTTAATATTAACATGCACTGTTATGTATATTCCAAATGCTGTATGTAGGACATATGTTTGTCTGTGGGAAGTAAGCTGTTGTGCAGTTCTCCTCCAGTTTAATAGCATATCTTTAATTTTGTTTCAAATGCAATTAATTAAAAGGTACTTCTAGTACTTAAACTTTCGAAACATACTGGAGAGAACAGATAAGTTATGTGCAAGCTTACTTTATGGTTGTTTAACGTACTGTTTGAGCACTGTAACACCAGAGGTTCGCGTTGCTGCTGTTGTGGGATAAATTATCAGGCAACATAGGTAATATAATGAAGTGTGTATGATATGTGTAAAAAATGCTCCTGCTACTTCTGCAAATCCTGATTCATTGTCTGAAATATCTTAATGCTTGTATTTTGAGTCATTCAGAGATGCAAATATGCTTAAGATTATGGGTAGAACCAGTGTCAGAGCATTTATTTCAAAATTGCGGGAGAGTTCTCCAGGAATTCTGTGATACCACTCTGAGGCAATACACTGACCTCTTCAACCTGGTACTCAGGACTTGTAGCAAAGTAGGTTTTCAAGGAGCTGTTCAATGTCAATAAGCTATTGAGATACTGGAAGATGTTGAAAGCAGTTGATTATTCTCACTGAAGATACCAGAAATGATCTGGTTTTGTCGTGGCTTTTAGAAAGCAATGTGCTTTTCTCTGATTTCTGGTAGATACTGACACATCATATGCAATTACTTTGGAGTCAGTATTGGCTGGTCATGAAAACTGGGTGTATGCAGTTCACTGGCAACCTTCATTTTCCAAAGGTAAAAAGATACCAAAAACCTAGCAACTGTGTTAAGTGTTGTATACACAGAGCACAGTCACATGTCTTTGTATTGTGTTTGCATGTTCACTTGTTACTGTAGACTATGAAAACCTTTTAATTCTGCAAATAAGGTTTTATGAATAAATGGATGTTGCCTTTTACTCAGGTTTTCTTTAAAAAATGAAATAAAATAACTGAGCTGTAATGACTTTACTGTAATTGATTTATTGATTATGGTGTACAAATTAATTAATCAGTATGAATTAATAGCTCTAATAGTTTATTTCTATATATGTATTTGAAATGTCTGTTCTTCAGAAGGTAAACATTACCTCAAGAGCACTCCTTTCTTTTTTGTGGAGTAGAAAGAAAAAAATAGCAACATTCAGAAGATTAATCTTCAGTCTTCCATGCATTAAGATAACATGGCAGGGGTTCCTGGAGTATTGATTTTCTGTAGCCATAAAGCATTAGTGCAGATTCTCATTGAAAAAGTGTTATTTTAAATTGAATTTTGTATTTTATTCTAGTATTTACCTTTCTTTTAAAATCCTTAAATTTTGACAGCCTGGTTTGCAATACTGATTTGCTGTTAGGTGTCTGCCTGGTGTATAACAGAAGGAGATTCTTGGTTTGACATGCTTGCACAGTCAGAATGCCCTTGTGTATTTGTACTGACAAAGTTGCCTTTTTTTCTGATATATTTTAGAATTACTGATGGCAGCTGACTGCAGTGGTATGAACAACATCTTTATTGGTGTATATGCAACACTTGAACAGCAGAGTGCCGTTAGAATGCCAAAATAACTGTAGTGAAAGACACAGGACTTGCTTTAAAAATTTTGGCTTAGTTATCTGGTCCTTAAACTTTTTTTTTTTTTTTTAATTAGACTCCAGTAAAAGATTTTTCCTCTTATAGCACAATGTAGGCCTGTCAGTCTTGTACTGCAGTTTGAAAACTGTCCTGTCAGACCATGAAGTTTTCCAAGTGTCTTACATCAGGCTTCTGCATATGTGCAGCTGCTTGCATTCTGTGGCCTGCCCAATCTTGGGTTCCCCAAAACACATTGTCAGTAGAGGCAGACTGATCTGAGAGACATATTCTCAGTGCTGAAGGTAGGTCTGGTGCTGGCATAAGATATCACCTCATTATGAGATGCCCACCAACATCTCTATTATCAAGAAAAGTTCCGCAGTCATTCTCCTACAGGTTTCACAGCCAGTTTCATCTTTCCCATTCTAGTTGTGTTCAGCATTTTTCTGGAGTGTTTCACTGTATTTTTGGAAGCAGTCCTGACTGCTTTATGTATTACAAGGTGCTACAGTGTATTGAAATTTGTAGTGAATCTAAAAGTTTGGAAAAAAAAACAACCAGGGAATACTAGGAGATTGTTTTGTTTTAAACTGTAAACCTCTCAGTAAAAAATTACTTAAGGAATGGAACTGAGAACTGCTATGCATTCTCTTTGTGAAGCTCCAGCTTATCCTCCAAATTATATTTAATTCAATATCAGTTTGGAGTGAGTAAACTGTGGAATACGGTTGTTCTCATGTACATGTTTTGCATTTTCTTTGGGCGATTATGGCTGAAGAATAGAATACCTCCTAATGAACGCCTGGCAAGAATGCAATGGCTTTAAGTCTGGCATATAGGTACTGCATTGCACATCTCTGATACTGAGCAATTTTCTTATCATGTTTGGATTACAGTATGACCTAATTTTTTTAGCAAATATTCTCCTAGGTTGTAGGGTAATAATTTTCCTTGTACTGTAGATGGCAGCATGCAACAACCAATGAGGATATTGTCTGCATCAATGGACAAAACTGTGATCATCTGGGAGCCTGATAAGGAATCTGGAGTCTGGCTAGAACAGGCAAGTGTCAGTCTTTCTCACAATATGTACTGTATTCAACTTGTGTTTTCAGTATAGTGTGTGTACTGCAGGGAACAAAAGCTTTATAAAATTCTGACAGAGAAAGGCAAAAGCAGTTTCATGCAAAAATACTCACTCTGATGCTGTGTTGCAAATAAAACTATATTTAAAAAAAAGTAATGTGATACAAAATGATTTTTATCGCTTCTTTGCTTTCTTATTACTGTATTGGAGAGTTTATAAGGTGTATTTGTGCTCAACTGTCATTCATAGTATAGCAAAAAAGGTGCTGCATAGTTACACATGCTCTGCAGTCCTGGTAAGAGGAGGAAGAAACTTTCCTGAACTATTTGCAGTTAATCCTTGTGGGAATGTGACCCAAGCAGTTACTGCAGAGCAGCTGACATGAAATTCATAAGCTTGGTTTTACTCACAATAACTTGTTCATGGGCTGTGTCATTAGGTTTGTCTTCCATTCGAGCTGAATACTCATGTCACTGTAGTATTTTGAAAGGTGTTCTAATGTGGAGCATCCTAAATAAACAAGTGGTATGACAAGATTTCTCTAGTGCTTTGATTGATGTCTTTGTTTTCAGTTGACCTGCTTTTCCAAATTACAGTAGTTCAGCTGAAATTGTTTGTGTTGGGTTATGCCAACCATTGTTTGTGATCTTTCCTGTCACAAAGGAAGTTCTAATCCTCTCTTGGGTGAAAAAGAGAGAATTACAGTAGTGTATTTATTTTTCCTCTGTTTCACTGAAAAGTTCTTGTGCCTTTGTACTGAAGTAGAAATTAGTTCATAATCAAGTGATCACATGGAGATGCCATTTGATGTCTTTAGTTGTAATGCTTAGTTGTGGCTAAATTTACAGGCTTCTAAAAATGGGTTGTGCAGTAAAGCTTGTAGCAAGTTGTTATTCTTTTATTCTTTCATTTTACGTTCTATTTCCATTGGTTTGACCACAAGTGTGCAGCTTGAAGTTCAGATCAGTTCTTAACTTTGCAATTAAAATATTTTTTAAATGTATTTGTGTGCATAATGTGAACTTCTGTCTGTAGGTAAATTTTCATCTCATGAAATAAGAATGATTTCCTATGAGTGGAAGACCATTTTCATAGATATTTCACTTCTGATTCAGGTACGGGTAGGTGAAGTGGGTGGCAATACTCTTGGATTTTTTGACTGCCACTTTAGTCCAGATGGTTCGATGATCGTTGCTCATGCTTTTCATGGAGCACTACATCTTTGGAAACAGGCTACAGTTAATAAGGTATGTTGGTTTTTTGTTAGTAGTATTACTTAAAAGAATTATGCTTTTATGTCACTTGAGGTAAGTTTCTGTTATTAATAGAAAAGTGTAACAGTACAATTTAAAATTAATGATTGAAATAGTCCTTCTCTGAACATAATATTGTAGGAATCTCACTCCTGCACAGAAGGGAGATTGAAATCTCCCAGGCTCTAAAACCTGTTTCTTACCTATGGGAATCATGAAGTCAGTTGAATAGACTGAACTCATTTGTGGTTTGCTTAGTTTACAACTGAACCAATAACACAAGTTTCTCTTAGATTGGAGCAATAAATCAGTATTTGTATCTCTTTAGTCACTCTTGAGTTCTAATAATTTGCTGTTTACAAATGTCTTTTTCTTGCTTTCTTAGAAAGTACATCAATTCTTTTATTTTGGTTAGAATATGCCAATCAGTCAAGTGAAAACTCCTTGCTTCTTTGGGTGACTTTTTTAATAGAAAGAATGGACTCCAGAAGTTGTGATTTCAGGACATTTTAACAGTGTAGAGGATGTAAAGTGGGATCCAGAAGGAGAGTTTATCATCAGTGTGGGCTCTGATCAAACTACTAGACTCTTTGCTCCATGGAAAAGAAAAGAAGAGACACAGGTATGATCTTCAAAGATTTTGTGAGTTTGGTTAAGAGGGCTTGTCTGTCCTGAGTTTGGAATAAGTCGCCTGAATATAACTCAAACCTTAAATATCCCCAGGAGGTGATCTGTTTAAAATTGCTTGGTTTGACCATTCAATGTGTCCTGTTTTCACTGTAAAAATATTAAATGGCAGAGTTTTTGCAATCACATATGACTGCTGTTTAATCCTGAGTTCACCTCCAGATTACCTTCAGTTAGTCTTCTTCCAGGGTCTTGGAAAAGGCTCTGCAGTATTTCAGAAGGAGGAATATATGGCTGATTCTAACAACCATCTATTGCCGTTGTTTAACAATTGGCTAAACACTGCTGCAGGTAATCATAAAGAAACTCAACTTTGTGGTTTTTTTACACAAGGTTAATCTAAAAAAAGTTCTCACTATGTTTTTTTTTACACTAGTTTGTTTATGACTGACTGTTTTACTAGAATGGTTATCTGAACTACATGAGTGCAGTCAGAAACTAAGGACCGCACAGGTGCTTGCTCACACCTCCTGCATTGGGCTGGGGGGAATCCTGTCTAGGAGTGCAGAAGTGTTGTGTTGGAGGAAGGGCATTTCCAGTTTCCTTCTCTGCTTTTTTCCTTAATCTCCAATCTGGAGGGTACAGCAGCTTTGTGGAAAAGATCATCATCATGGCCAGGCTTCGCGAATGAAGATTTGGGAAGGGCTCTATCCACATTTGTTACAAGCGCGCTGGTGGCTAATAAGGCCAGTACGAGATAGACATGTCTGATTGCAAAAGGCACAACAGAAAGACTCCTTAGGTGGTATATTCTGCAAGGCATGGTTCTTTCTGCATTGTCTTTTCTCCTCGAGAGTGATCCTGCGTGCGTTCTCAAAGGCATCAGCAGTGTTATAGATGGTGTGTCTCCAAACCTCCCAACTGGAGGCCAGAGTAGACCAGTTATGTTAATCAATATGGTCAAGGCTGAGATGTTGTTTCAGGGAGTCCTTGTATCTTCTCTTCGGGGCTCCTCTCTTGTGGCAGCCAGTGGCAAGTTCACCATAGAGCAGGATCTTAGGGAGGTGGTGGTCCTTCATCCTGGAGACATGCCCTGCCCAGCGCAGCTGTGTTCTCAGCAACATGGCCTCAGTATTTGTGTGTGGAAAAGATAGTACGTTGGATTTGACATAGTGAAGCAGAGTCCGGGGCTAGCACATGATGTAAGTTGGCAGCCTTCAAGAATTGTCAGTATCACTTTCTCTGTGACCTACTGAAGTACCACTCTTTGTTATATATGCTGCTTGCTAAATTTTAATCCTATTTCTGAAAGAACTGAGCTTTGTATGATTTACCTGATCAGCTCTCCCTGAAACTGTTGAATCAATTGATTTAGCAGACAGATTGTGGTCTTCATATCTAAATCTGGTGTGAACTGAATTCTTATACTTTCTGTTCTGACACAGAGCAGCCACCTTGCATCCAAGTAGTGTCAGCATTTGCTGCATGGGGTATGGGAGAAAGCTATAGTATTCTTTTGGTGAGATGAAGTGGAGGGTTGACATAGAAATGGGTCATTTGAAGGAGTCTGTTCAGGACTTCTGAACCCTGAAAACCAGGCATTTAGTTTTGCTGCTTATGAACTTGGGTAACACAGGCCTTTAAAATGCCTTAGTTTTTTTACTGAGTTTAGTATCTGAAAAATTAAAACAGGTGACATCAGATATTTATCTTAACAAGACACAATGAATGGTTCATATATCTATGAAGAGTTAGTATTACAGCTCAAAATTCATGTTTTTCTTTATAAAAAGGAAGCTAAGTGTTAAGTGCAAATAATTATCCCTTCTTAAAATCTCAATTCTGATAACAGAATATCAGAAATGGGGGATAATGGTCAGCTTCAATTTGTCATGCAAATTTGCATCCTGATTTTTCTGGAAGAAGCTGATCGTGTGACTTATGCAGCTGTCTCTTTGTTTTGGGGTTTGAGTTTTTTGTTGGTTTTTTTTTTCATTCCTGTTATGTGCTGTGATCTAAAGTATGTAAAGGGTAAGAAGGGCTTTCTGCACTGTTTGATTTTATTTTTTTTTAAGAATGAATGCTTTTTTTTGCATTGGGAAGTAATCAAGTCCTTGTGAAATCATGAGGTTTTTGTAGGATGTCTCAAATTCCCATTTAGGTCCTGTCAGAAACTTGAGCATTCAAAGCTCAATTGAATTTTTAGGGTGAGGCAGTTTACAGTCAATAACATGTCTTTGTTTATATTCATATGGTATCTAGTACAATGTAGATTCTGTCTTGGCTACAGGCATTGTAATACTGAAGTAGTCTAAATTAATTTTAATTGATGAAATTAATTCTAATTCTGTTAGCTGTTAACTCTAAAGTGCACACTGTATTTTTCCAACTAAAGTATCATATAGGAGCAGTAACAAATGACACTTCGGAAAAATCTCTTCATGAAAGTGTATTTGCTAGAAAACAAAGATGTTTTTTGAAAAAAAAATTTTCTCATGTGTAGAATAAATCAGATTTTTAGAAAAGCAATTTAAATAATTTAATATATTTTTTACTAATATTCTTTGTTTAGTATGACTGTAAAACTACCTTGTCTATCTATTTTGATTAGCTGTTAATTCTCGTTTTTTTGTGTTAAAACTTGAAGAGTGGATATGAATATAGAAAAGTAGGAAAAACTAATACTTCAAATGAAAACACTTCTATAATTTTCCAGATATTTTTTCTACAAGAAACTATTTTGGTTTTGACAGCTTTTTTTCAGAACTTATATTAAATGGTCTCACTAAAATCAAGTATTTAAAGAAAAGAGGGAAGTAGGAACCTTTATCCTGATAACAGCAGTGCTGCTGTGCTTTGTGAAAGACAGATGAAGGAAGCAAGGTAATTATCACTACCTTTCTTAGGTCTTTCAGAGCTACAGTTTCTAAAGTAGTAGCATCCAATCCTCCTTTTGCTTAGGCAATTTATGTTCTATTCCTGACTGTCTAGCATAAAGAAGTCACAGTAAGTGCCTTAAACACATCTGTGCAGGGACACAGTTTACTAATTACAGGAATTGTGTGGTGGAAAACTAGTATTCAGCTAATGTTATGTGATCATACATCAGTTTTATGCACATCAGTAGAAGGCTGCTTTATGTTAATGAAGTTAGCAAGTAAAGGATTAGTACTTTTTTCAAACTTGAAATCTTACTGCTTCTCTGGTTAAGGATTGTGTTTTAACTTTGTGTATGTTCATTTAGGTAACCTGGCATGAAATTGCAAGGCCTCAAGTACATGGATATGACATGCGTTGTCTGGCAATGGTTGGCCGGTTTCAGTTTGTGTCAGGAGCAGATGAAAAAGTGCTTCGAGTTTTTCGTGCTCCCAGGAATTTTATAGAAAATTTCAGTAACATCACTGGTATTTCAATGGAGAAGCTGTGCTCCCATGTAAGTGTGCTAAAGCAATGCTAAATGAAGACGACCCTCTTAGATGTAAATAAAGTTAATGCTTTAGAAAATTTCGGATCACACTAAACTCTGTAAAAATTCCTTTAATCATTCTTAAACCTTAACCTTGTTTTTCCTTTCCCTTCTGCTTACTTCCATGTGTGTTGTTGCATATGTACTTTTGTGGTGTTGTCATATGAAACAGGTTCTATTTGAAACCAAGCAAGACCTAGTGTCAAAAGATGGTAAAGAGTGTGGGTGAATTTTAAGTAAGTCAGATCATGTAGACCACTGTACACACTTGGGGATTAAGCAAACAATAAAGCTTGAGAATGTGCTTCTCCTTAATTTATGGGTGTAGTAGTCCTGGCTGGATGTAATTATTGTTGTGTAGTTATCTGTTGGTATTATTAGTTGTTTTTTTTTAATTGTATACTTGGAAATAGCATAAAGCTTTCAGCACTGTTGTTAGTTCTTATATATAAATATTTATAAAGATGTACTTGCTCATGCTTAATTTCCTCTTGACACTGAAAATTTTTTTGAGGCCTCTACATTCCAATTCTTAGGTGTTGGTACCTATGCTGTCCTGCATTGCTGTCCTTTCTTTGCTCCCCATTTGCATTAAGATCTAATTCTGGTTTTCCCTGCATTTTGTAGAGTAGACCTTGTTCAAGATAGATGCCTCTGTACAGTGCCTTGCATTCTCTTTGGATTTCTTGCTCAAAAGCAGTGTTTTCTGTGCAGTGTCTTGGAGATGGATTGGCCTTTCAATTTAATTTAACAACTGAAATATCTGGGAAACAAGTATAATCATTTTTGATACCAAGAAGTCACACAAGTAGCTGTTTAGTGCTTTAGTTCTACAAGACTTTGTAAGCATTTGCATTAATGACCATTGTACAAAAAACTGTGCTCTTATAATGCTGGCAGATACCATTGTTTTACTTTTACGTAGACTTTTCTTATCGGCTCTTCGTCTGAGTGCTGTTTTTTGATTCATGATATCTCAAAGTGTTCACATGGGCTTTGGTTAAAGAGGAAGGCTTTGTGAGCTCTAATGATACAGCTACTCTTAAGTAGCTTTATTGAAATTGTTTTCTGTGAAAGCTTTTTATCGTTAAAGTGGGTAAGCTTTTTTGTAATTTGGCTCACATGCCTTCCCCCAAAAAGTACTTAAAACCAACAAAGCCACCTTTATGTTCAAAAAGGATTGAATAGGATTATATTCAGTTCAAATCCATTGGATTGTATTATACTTAGGGTTGTAATGAAGAACCATTTTTGTTTTAGGGGCCTTAGACTTGTATGTGTCTGTCATATGTTTTCTCATCTAACTATGAACATATAAATAAATTTTAAGCTGTCACCTAAATTATTGATTTAATTTTGTAAAACAGTCTTTGAACTTTTCAGACACTGTAAGGAAGGGATTTTACAGCTATTAAATCTTTTTCATCTCTGCACAAAGGTCCGCAAGTTCACTTACCCTTTCTAAATTTTTACTTTTTTCTCTATACCATTATAAAAGTAATTTCTGACTGATGATTTGTCTTTCCCCTGTGCTGCTTTAAACAGGCACGTATTCCAGCCACATCTCTGTGCTATTTACTGAGTTGTGTTTGAAGTTGTGGTCACAGGCACTCAACCCCCCCTCTCTTTTCCAAAATGCTGCTTTATTATTTCACCTCAGAACAACTATTCCCAGTTCTATTGTGTTAAAATCTGCAGTGCTCTCAGTAATAGATTAATTGTCATGTATGTGCTGGAATAAATAAAATTGTCGAAGAAAACCTGTAATTAGGGATGAAGAAAACTCTTGACCTGAGGCCTAAGAAAAGATATGTGGGTTTTTTGTTGGTTGGTTGGTTTTGTTTTGTTGGTTTTTTTTTTTTTCTTTTTTTTCTGGTGGAGTACTGGTCTTTGTTTTGTCCAGGATTGGAAGTTTTTCAAAGTTTCCCCTTTCACTTCTCTAGGAAAGTAACTCTCAGATATTTCTTAAACTGTGGCCTTTGAAATCCAAACCTACATAACAATCTGTGTGTAACCTTTTTTTTTTTAATTCAACAGTCATCTGATCTTCCAGAAGGTGCAACTGTGCCAGCGTTGGGATTATCCAATAAAGCTGTTTTTGAAGGTATGGCAGTGAGAAATAATTGTTATGATGTTTCATCTGGAAACGTTTTTTAAGTGATTGTTTTAGTGTACATATTTTTTGTGGGTCTGTAAGTGCAGGTGTTACTGCAAGTTCAGAGTCTAGAAATAAAATTGTGCAAAGTGTTTAGTTCTCTGGTAGCACCTAAATGTGGTGCTTAAAAATAAAAGCACGAGTGAGGATCTTTTCTCCCTTTCTCTGCCTTTGTTTTTTCCCCCTAAACATTCCCAAATGTCTCGTGCAAGCCCAAAATGCTTTCTCTGCTCTCCATATTGTGTCCTGCACCTCTGTAGGAATTAGCCCTACTCAGTCTGAACAGGGCTCCTGAGAGCCTCATTGCTCTTCTGTGATGCATCTGGGAGTAGCCAGGGCAGGATACTATAAGAATTCCTCACCTGCCATTTTTCTTCTTTTTTCCATGCTCACTGCCCCCCACCACCTCCCTGCCCTAAGAAGACTAATGACTTATAGTCAAAAAATTAGTATTGAATAGCATACTGTGAAAACTAGGTTCAGAGTTATTAAAGCAAAACTACCTGTTACTACTTGCAGTTACTCTGTAAAATACCTAGCTACATTCTTGAGTCCTTTTCACACTCTCCTCAAATGTTATCACCTTTGTAGAAGCTTATAGAAGTAATGCTTCTTTGAGGGGAATCAGTCAGATTTTCTCTTACAGTGAAAATAGCCGTTTCTCCAGGTAAATGATGCTTTGTAGAAAGTATTGGGAGGGAAGAATTAGTTAGCCAACAGTAAGTAATGTTGTGTCTGTAAAGACTGGTGGGGCACCAGGTGAATTTCTTGGAGAGGCATTGGAAATGACATTGTGGGGGAACAAGGAAGGAGGGACAAGCACCTGTGTAGGGCGATAAAAAATATTTTCTTGAGAGTGAGGATGAGACTGGTAGTCTGGTTTTTGATAAAGTCTCTGGTAAAAATGCACTATAGTGGAATCTACAAATTAGGTCAGACCTGGTTTTTGTCTGCTTAAAGCTTTTTCAGAAGGTGTGATCTAAAAAGGGAAGCATTTTAATAAGCTTTGTCTCCAGGGTCTCTGGTGGCAATAAGCCAAATTTTCCTAAGCCATTTGTGAGAGAAAAACCAGCTTTGTTGTACTTGAAATACAACTCATACTCGAAATAACTCATAAAATATATTTTGGCAAAGGTTTTTTTCCCATGCTTTCTAATGAGCTCTTCTGCTGCGAGAGGAGAAAACCCCCTCCTTCTCTATCGTCTCACAGAGAATAACTAATATCCACTGATTTCACATGGCCCACCCAGAAGCAGCCCTATGAATAGAATTTTCCTGCCTTGTCCACCATTGCTCACCCAATGCTGTCAGCACTAATGGCTTGGGGTAAAGCACCACAGACCTCTGTTCTCACACCACAGAGGAATCTTCATGGTGACCAATGATCAGATAGTGGTCTCAGATAAATGTTGCTCATTTCATTTTCAAGGAGAGAGAAGACAGTGTGAAAGAGAAAATAATATTTTTTTTTTTTTCTTTTTCTATACCTACTTTTTGAAACTGCTGTATTTGAGATGTACATTTGGCAAAAAGGTAGTTTACGTCTGAGAGAAACTGTTGCCCAGCTCTGTACCTTTTTCTTAATACTGTCAGAGTGAAGAACAGAGTTGAATTTTAACTTAAAATTAACTACTTTCAGTTACTTCTGGTACTTTTGCCTAAAGCTAAGGACTGAGCCTTCAGCAGTTTTGCTGCAGTTTGCAAGGTGTAGATACTCTTGCATGGCTTTTTTTGTAGATGCTCAAGCATGGCTTTTCATTTAGGGATCTACATTAAATTTAGGAACTCATCACTTTTGTCAGAGATTTTTGTCTTAAACATTTTCAAGTACAGAAGGAAAGGTTTAACATTGAGGAAACACAGGTTGAACTCCCGGTGACTGCTTTGTTCAGTCAAATCAAATTTTCTTTAAGAATATCTAAAAGAATCTGTGCTGATGGAGAGAGGTCATTCTCGAAGGTTAGATTTTATCTTTTTTAGAAATCTCATTCTCACATTCATCAGAATAACTAGCTTCTAATAATCATATTATTTTAACTGCAAGCAGGGAAACCTGGTTTCAGTTACTTGTATTGTAGAAACAATACATGCTTTCTATGCGTATAATAAGTCCTCATGTTTTCCCTCCTTTCAAGTATGTTCTCTAGCTAATGGAGTCCTTACTTTGAATAGGAGATATGGCTCTTCAACCAGCAGAGGATGAAGAATCATTTAATACAATTTCGAATCAGTATCCTGAGATTTATTTTCAACCCATGATCCTTACAGGTATGAGATTCATTTCTGTTGTAGGAAATAGAGAATGAAGTTCTTTGGATATAAACTTGAAGCATTATTTAGCTGATTTTTAGATTATTTAGTACCAAATTTGAATACACTGTACAAATGTTTTTTAGAACCTCCATCAGAGGATCACTTGCTGCAGAATACCTTATGGCCTGAAATTCAGAAGTTGTAAGTTTTTTCCTTATTGAAATTACAAAATTTCCAGAACGCTATTGTAACATTAATGTAGTATGGTCTTGTAACTCTTCCTATTTACTATCTGATTTGCCTTGTCTTTACAAATACTTGTAAAATAAATACATTATATGTGTATAAAAATTAGAAAATATAAAATACATACATGTATGCATGTTATTATATGTATATAAAACATATATGTTATTATGTGTATATAAAATTAGGAAATTATATATAAAACTTAGGAAACAGTGCCACAAATGGCATTTAGAACTGATGTGTCACAATTTTATTTTACTAGTTGTTTCTCCTTAAAACCTTGCCTATGCTCAGGGTCTCTTCTCTGTAAGGAGTTTTGTGCTTTCTTTCCACTTCATGGCACAGGCTTGCAGATGAAGTTTGTCTTTCTGGTATGGAAGTAAAGGCTGAGGCATCAATAGAGGAGCTTCCCCCTAAAGCCTAACAGAGTTATAAGATGTGATAGATGGAAGCAGCAGCTAAAATAGGATGTGCCTAGTGGTAGAGCAAAGTGATGAATGTTGAGTAAAATGGTTACAAACCCAGTTTGGGTACTAAATGCTGACAGGGTGGTTGTGGATTGCAGATATTGGACTTATATGGTCATAATAATTGGTTTGTGGTTACAGAGTTTTAGAATTCTTCAGCTATGTTTTCTTCCTTTTCTGAAATTCTCAATTTGCAGGTGAAGGTTGTCACCTAATTTGTTCCCTAAGGATCCCAGTAACATGAGGCTATCCCTTCACAGTCTTCAAAGCTTTAGTATCAATCTTAAAACTACAACATGAAGAAATTAATAATCTCAATCTCTTACGAGTTTTTTTTATCTGAATCTCCTAAAAGAGTGGTCTCAGGCAGGAACAAGAAGAATGTTGGGCCTTTGCTGATGATTACAGCTACCTTTATACGTTACTAGTTTTGTGACTTCAGTTGGGGGTCAGGAAATAAAAAGCTTTGGAAAAACACTTTGCAGCTTGCTTTCATTTGACTGAGGGGGAAGTTCTCTGGGAGCTCATCTTTACTTTCAACTGGGCAGTAAATCTCCTTTGCTTACTTCTAAGCTCTTTTACTATGTTTGTACTCAAAGGAGGGTTTCCTGAGAGGAAAGCTGGTGGATGTTAGACAATATCTGCACACTTTGTAATTCTAACTGTTACATTAACTGCTTCTTCTGTGCATGCTATGGCTGCTAATGCACGCACGTAAGAAGTTTGATAAGGGATGTTTAAGTAGTGAAGCAGAGCCAAGGGCAAGATTTTTCTTCATTTGCCTTTGACATTTTGCCAAGTCTAGTGGGACATTAATATTTGATACTCTGCTATGGGAGTACTGCCTATCTTCCTGTATATCCTGCATTCATTAAAATAACTCCATTTTATTATGGTCTTCAGATGACTTATCTGAGAATTTTTTTCTGTTTTCAGAGACACAGCTAATGATAGGGATTATTTTATGCAAGAGCAAGAAGATGTAAAGCATTCGTAGACTTTGAGGTTTTTTGCTCAGAATAATCTTGAAAGGAGTAACATGAAAACTCATAATGTAGATTTCAAGTTGCCATAGCAGCAGAAAACCAGTGTGAGGCACTGACTTGCTAAAAATAGCTTGTTTGTAATTGACATTTGTGTATTCCTAGCTCTAACTTGACACCAAATTTTGAAGGATTAGTGTTGGATTTTGCAAAATGTTTGCTTGAAGAGGTTTTAGTATGAAGAACTTGCTGAATTTTTTACATAATCTAATAACTTAAAAATATGGTGAATCTTGTGAGAATGTGCTAATCTTTATCCTCTTCGAAAATTACTGCAGAGAGTTTGTAGGCATCCTACTGAGATTAAAGCGTGAGTGTTGACATAAATATATGTGTTTATCTGCATATGTATGTACATTTCATGTAATACACTTGAAAGTCTAAGAGATCCTTTTTGACACTAGAAAATTACTGTATTCATTTGTCTGGACACTTTGAAGGTCCAGTCAGTTTACCTGTGCATAAAAAAATGCTATGAACTGCACAATGCTAAGGCAAAACGGTTTGTGGTTGAAAATATCATTTCATTATTCTTTCATGCAGTTACTTCTCTCCATTGTGAACCTTTATTTGGTGGTGTACTACATAATGAAGAAATCAGACTGTGTGTATGGGATCAGGGAAAAGAGTGGTACTAGAGCTCCTATACTGGCAAGGCGTATATACTCATGTAGACAGCATCTCCTATTGCTGCTATCTTAATTTGCTTTACTGGAGACAGCACTGGCCTGTACAGGCAGCCAGTCTGACCTAAGACAGTCCTGCTCATGTGACTTTGCCAAAGCCAATATTTTATATTTTCTGTTAATTTAACAAGAAATGTTACATTTTAGAGCTTCCATTTAGCAAAAACAAAGTTGCATGCAGAAGCTTGAAGTCTTTCCGTCAAGTCCTCTTCAATACTACATTTAGGAGATAAAACCAAAACAACCGAGGACTTGTTTCATGACTTGTTCCACAGGTTATTTTTCCTTCATGGAATTTCTGGAAATTTATACTTTTGATGGAATAAATATTTTTTAGTTTTAGAAAATTGACTTTCAGTGGTTTCCACTACAAAATAATCTCCAGGAATGTGCTTTAAAGTTAAGCATTATGATAAAATTCCTGCTAGTCGCAAGTTAAGAGTAAGCCATGCAGTACTACTTTCATCATTGTGTTTTCCTTTTCCAACATGATTCTTGTCCTTTGGTTCAAAAATCAGGATTTCACAGAACTCACTGGGTGTTTCTGGTATATTTCTTCAGTGGTATTCAAATATATGGCTTCTGATTTTTATTGGTGGTGTTAAAATTGTTTTTCAAGAAAATAAGGGTACATTAAATGCTGCTTTAGTTTGCTTTGTTAATCATTAGTGTAGCTTCTGCAGGACTATGGAATGGGCTGGAGAGATTTTTTTGTAGTCAGTTTCTAATTCTGAAAGAATTTATGCAGATGTTTAAACTGAATGCTGAACATTATTAGGAATTATTTGGAATGTAATACTGAAAATGACTATGATGTGTTAAATATCTTTTCACATGTATTTCAGATATGGACATGGATATGAAATATTTTGTGTTGCTTGCAATAATTCAAACACTGTAATTGCTTCAGCATGTAAGGTAAGAAAAGATTTTAGCACCATCTAGTGAAAAGTGCCCACCAGATTTCTAGGGCTGACAGAGCAGGAATCAGAATTCAGTTTGGGCTGAATTCTGTTCTTTTACATAAATGTGAAAGATTTTTTATAGATGGCAGTTGCCTTGCAGAGGTGAGAGTGAATGCAAATAAATTATTCCTAAATTATGTATGATTCATTTGAAGATACTAATAAGATAAATTCTAACAAATATAGGTCTGAAATATTTTCTTGCTGATATATTGTCAACATTAGTAAAAAATAGTGAAACAATCTTGAAAATTCCCAGAGGAAAGCTGGATCTTACTTGATTGCAAGCCTTAAAACAAGCCCCCTAACATCTTAGTATTTTGAAATGTGTGATTTTTATATTTGCTTTCATTAATTCTCACTGATATTTTTTTTCCATCTATACAGGCTTCCAAAAAAGAACATGCAGCAATTATTTTGTGGAGCACTACTTCTTGGAAAAAACTGCAGAGTTTGTCTTTTCACAATCTGACTGTTACTCAACTGGCATTTTCTCCTGATGACAGATTTTTACTAGCAGTTTCTAGAGACAGGAATTGGTCACTGTGGAGGAAAGAAGACTCCTCTGAGTCAGGTAAGATATGCAAAGTGGATATACACATTTGAAGACTTTGCAGTTTGTTCAATATTTTTGGCTGCAGAATATTTGAAAGAGAATTGATGTAATATTTTAATGGACATTTTCCTTACAACTTTGAAGAATTAATTGTTGTAGACTCTTGTGGTTTTAAGAAATGCAATTAATAATGTATGGAAAGCTAGAAATTAAATTAAAATGCAGAGAAGAATATAATCAGGCTTTAAATGCTGTTTAATTGATGGATGTAATGAAGTCTACTCTTCTGCCTTCTGCATGTGATTGTATGTTTGACTTATTGAAATCAAGTATACAAGCTGGCGTGTAATGCCTGAACTTCCAATTGGCATTCTGTCAAGAAAAGCCTTCATCGCGGTGTTCTGTGCAGGCATAGCTGGAGGGTTCGTTGCTACACCCGTATCCTGCATAGAGCTGCCTTGTCCCTGTTTGCAGGACATGGCACTTTGAGACTCTTGACAGGATTAATCTCTGTCTTTAGTGTGGCATTCTGATAATCCTACACAATTGATTAATTTGACTAGGACTGTCTCTGTCTGGAAAAAATGCTGATAGTAAGGATTCAGTTGACCCTCTCATTAAGACTTTGAGCCTTGCAAAATCATGAGGAGATTGCTGTTGAACGCTTTAATGGAATCCTAGACCAGATGCTTGTGCTGAAAGTGATTATCGTTGCTCTGTTGGCTTAATAGCATATAAACACTGCTGTGCTCTATAGAATGTTCCTAGAGACTTGGCAGTGAGTTTTGGCCCCTTCAGACAGTGTCCAGTTGTATCCTGGCTTGAATTTCTGTTCTATTCAGACTTCTATTCTAAAGCCTGGCATATTGTCCACAGTAGTTACACAATGTTTCAGAATAAGGATCATGAATACTCACAGCAAGTAGAGGAAATCCTCTTTTCATCTCTTCATCAATAACCCTTCTGTCTACAAATAACATCATTATCAGTGTAAAGAAAAAAGTGCTGGTATTGGCATCCCCAGAAGTGGTTATTCAAAGTCTGTGCTCCAAAATGGCAACCTTTCCTACTTAGGAAAAGCAGTTCCATTTAATGATCTGCTGATCAGATTTAGTTCTTAATTGTATACATGCTGAAATGGCAGCCTGTCTCTTTGGGAACACATGAATCTTTACAATTAGACCATTATAATTTCAGCTCTTGGGGCTTTACTGGTAAATAAGAACTGTGGTGAAATACTGGGAATATGTGAACACATGGTAAATGTCGCACTATTCAAAAACTTCTGAAGTCAGTGTTCTTACAAAAAACTTGATAGAAATAATCCGAAGGTGTTATACTTGGACTTAAATTCTTCTGAAACAGAAATGTGTGTAAAAGATTGAACTGTTCCTACTGTTTTAGGGCTCTAAGGGCTGACTGATACTGTCTTGAACAGTTACTCGTTATCACTAGTAGTAGTAAGTGTTGCAAAAAATACCCATATGGTCCTAAGTATTCCCAGTTGCTTTAAAGAGGAATGGAATAATATCCAAGTATTCCTGCAGTTCTTACATAAAGTTAGGTAAGAGTAACAATTACTTTTAATATGTAAAGTAGTTGAAGCAAGGGTTTTGCTCTGTATGTTTTGTTCCAGGAGCAGTCTTCGCTTGCTGTGCATACACAGACAAAAATACAGCTGTTCACAGTCGAATCATTTGGTCTTGTGATTGGACACCAGATAGCAAGTATTTTATTACTGGTAGTCGAGACAAAAAGGTAATTAATATTAAAGGTTTGGAAAGCCCAGAATTATTTTAATGTATTTTAGATTAGCAAATGCTTTGTTCTAATGAGCCCTTTTTCTATAAATACACAAAAGGCTTATTGTGTGTTTTAGCGCAGAAATCAGTGATACTTTCATAAGCTAAATAAAGTGCTTGAATATATGTATATACAAGACTGTGGGCTGCCAGTTGGACTTTCTCCCTTCTTCTTTCATGCAGTAAGACAAGCATATGTTGCATAATTCTATGGGTCTCAAGTTTTTCTTCAACTTTCATAACAGAATCTGTTTTTGTTGTCGGTAACTTTAATGATATCAGACAGACTGTCTGCAAAGACGAATCTTTGTAGATAGAGATTTTTTACTATTTTCAGGGTCATCTACTTTGTTCTGTGTCCTAGAATTCCTTTAGTTAAGTTATTCCTTATGTTTTGTAAGTGCATTTACAAGAAGTTCAAAGTGAAAATTCCTAGATGACTCTATTTTCTTACAGGTCGTTATCTGGGGCCAGTGTGATTTATCTGTGAATACTGAAGGGAATATGCTGGATTTAGTCAAGCCTTGTTCAACAGTACTAGATGCTGGGGATTCTGTAACTGCTGTTAGTATCAGCCGTGTGCTTACTCCTGATGGAAGGTATTGCTGGTTTTCTGTAATGTCATTTTGTATTTAATTCGAAATTAATATTTTCATAGTCAACTGATGTTCTGTGGCTAAACAGCTCCTGAAATCTACCTGTCAATTATTTCAACTATTCTTTAACTGAATGACCTCTACTTTTTTTTCCTTCCTAGCCACCTTTTCAGCTGTATAGTGACTTCTCCAAACAGTGTAACAATAAAAAAAGGAAGTGGGAGCGGGAGGGAGGAAGGCATGAACACACCTGAAATGCATTAATTTTTCCAACAGTATTAACTGATCTGATGTTGTAATAAGCTCCTTACTTTTTCCTAAGCAAATATATTTTGCAGGTTTCTGCTTTGCTGGTTTTTTTAATGAAGTGGCTTTGATTTCAATTGTGATGTATTAATTTTTGTGGAAAAGTAAATACTGATTTGAAGGGCAAGGTGCAAAACAGTACTTGAGTGCTACTTCTTTCTATCCTGCATTAGAACTAGGCCTTGCTGAGCTACCTACTGTAATTTCTGTTAACTAATGCAGTTATTCTCTTGATAGATATATTGTTGCAGTAGGCTTAGAGAATGGGAAGATTGTCTTGTACACATGGAAGCAAAGTGGACAAGAACTGGCAGTAGCTGACTGGACCACATGTGTTGAGATAGGTAACAGGTATGTCTTTTGAAGTAAGTTAGGAGCAATGAAATATTATTCTTGAGACTAATAGTGCTGGAGTTATGTTCTTGTAATATATAAAATGATATGAAACTGGTTTATTTGTATACCAAAATTGTTATCCTTTGATCCCTGACAGTCTAAAGATACCTTAAAGCGAAACTCGGGAAAAAAATATTGGTTATTTAGATGTATTAAAAAACTCACCCATGAATGTGAACAAAAAACAAGAGGGGGTTAAACCCCGAAATAAATACTTCATGCTATGCAAATGCTTTGAGAAATATTTCTCTTTGTTGGCCCTACTTAAAAAGAAATAAAAATAAAAAAGTCATAAAATAAGATGATAGAAAACACTGAAGAGACGGGGGAAAGAATCCCTGTCTATATACATCAGCAAAACATTTTGGAGTGGATGACAGCAAGCTTTCAAGAGCAGCTTCTACCAGAAACCAAAGGAATGACAAGATCTATGCGGTGCTGCTGCAGTGACAGCTAGAGAGACTCTGTAGAAAGACTTTGAATGTTTCACTTGAAGCACTCTCCTAGATTCTTCTGTCACATACTGGCATTGATAGTAACAGAAATGAAAGCTGACGGTGACTTTGGCCTGTATGTGTGTGAAGTGAATTGGGAAGGGATACCAGATAACAGGAAATTGTAGGCTAAAAGCCAAAAATCTGTCATATCTCAGTAACTGAGATGCTAGACCTGTAGCTTAATGTGGTAAAACTGGAAATCAATAGCTGTTTGAATTATTGATGAGCGAGAGGATAAAATGTCATTAGTGTTAATGGCCCTACTTATTTTAAGAATTTAATACCTGCTGGTTGTCACAAATCAGTTTTTCCTCAGTTGGTAGTGTTAACTGAAGAGTACTAATTATATGAATGTTGATGTTTACAGTCACATGCCCAACTGTGTTTGACATTTTGCAGTTATGTATGGATTTCTTTTTGTTGCAGCCAAAGTCATGCTCTTGCTGTGAAACGTTTATGTTGGAGACATCATGCAGGCAGAGCTGGACATAATGATCAGAACAGCAGCGAGTGGTTGCAGCTTGCAAGTTGTGGAGCTGATCACTGTGTTAAAGTATTCAATGTCAACAGATTTGCTCTTTAGCAAAGACAGCAGGCCTGTCTGTGCCAAACAGATTCACAATATTTTATGTCAACTTTTAGCCATTTTGATTATTGAATTTTCTGTTTTCTGCTCGGGGGAGTGAAACATCTGACATGTAACTTATTAAAGCAACTTTGGTGGAAGTTTGAAATGTCAAATATTTTTATAATCCTGCAGTTCTGGGAATATGAAATATTTTATATGTTTTGGTTGGTGGATATCCTGGAACTGAGGCATGGGAGATGGGTAGGGTATAGGAGGAGGATAATGAGACAGCTTTAATCACTGGCTCCAAGGGTGGGTGGGAAGCTGGTGACACTTGGGTTATGTACTTGGGATTCCAAGTGGAGTACTGAATTTTTTTTAAACTCCTATTCCTATCAAACTTTTACTGTCAATTGGCTTGCCAGTGCTGACGTGTTTCAGGATGTGCAGTCAAACAGATCAGAGTTAAATGTACAGCTTTCTCTGATTGCCTTCTGAATGTGTATTACAGTCTTGTTCCAAGTCTAGGGCCACCTGACGTTAGAAGGAGTAGTTGTGTCTGTATGCTTGGACAGGCCTGTGTTTGATTTTATTCCTTTATTCTGCTGTGCAGAGTGCTGAGCTTGTGCTTCTCGGTCACGTGGGGCTTAAAGCCAAACTCACAGACCACTTAAATCTTCTGGTGTCTCCCCTGTGTACCAGTGAGCTCTCTCTGAAGAGAGTGCTGTAGAAGAGCCACCTCTTAATCTCTTGGAGGGCTGTCCTCTACAGTTTGGACTGGAAAAACTTACAAATATCACTAGGCAGGAGCTAAAAGGAGGCAGCCATTCCTTACCACTGCCTTTGGACTCTTCCTGACTTTTGACGGCTCCTTATCTACTCTGGTGAAAACAGATTAGCTTAGTTGTCCAGTAGTGTTGTAATTTAAGCAGAATGTTACTAAGACAGTGAGTACTTCAGAAAGAAGCCTTTACCTCAGCAAGTCTGTGTCTAATTCCAAAGTCTAATTCAGAAATTTGTTAAACTTTGAGAATGAAATTCTTGTTATTCCAGAAACACTTGCTACCCAGAACTGGTAGTGCAGAGGTAATTGGAATTGTGTCTAACTTTTTACTGTGTTGCATCTTCAAATTAAGAGTACAGTTCTTTCAGAGTGGGCCATGCTCTTTCCAGATAATAATAGTTTATATTTTAAACAATTTTGTATTTTAGCTTTTCATTTTCAGTTTCATTTTTCAACAACTAAAAAATCAACTTTTAATGTGGGGGCAGGGAAATAAAAAATGACTTGTTAATAAAGGTGATTTGCTATATTTTATTTGTGCTTTACCCAATGCTTTTCTTACATGTGTGCTTTAAGCATTTAAGCATTTGAGCAGTGTATTTTACTTGTCTGGGAATTTCTAAGCAGTCGTGTCCTGGCAAGCAAAAGATATAACTTATCACTCATGAAGTTTCAAAAAGCTGCCAAAGGTGGAACTTCATTCTATGTCACAGTTGTCATTTGGTGTCTTACCTCCAATTTGATGATTGTACCAGATAATTCTTTCCAATACTAGTATGTCTTGCCATGTGGCCATTCTTATGTATAGTTCAAAGTGAAACATCGTATTAGTTGTCCCTCTCTTTTATTTGCTGAAATGCTGTCATTAAACAAGCATCAGCTGTTAGATGATTTAGTAATCCTTTCCATTACCCCTGGAACTTTTGTGACTCAATCAAATTAAATACCTCGTTGTTCCAACTTTAAATACATCAGATTAGTCTGTTGGTCTCACAAGTCTAAATGTTTATAATAGACACTTTTAATTTTTGATTAAGTTAGAGATTGTCAAGAGAGACCTTGACACATTATTAATATTTTATGTATGATATTATCTTTGCTTGCATATATCTTTGCTAAGCATTTAGTGGGCATGACTTTTACATACACCTTTACCTTCTCAGTAAGTCCGCTAAAGTCTTTTAAAACTAGCATGTAAATCAGCATTTTAAGAAAAACTTAGAAATGAGCTGCTGGCCATGTATGTGGCACTCAAATTCTCTGCTTGTTGTACAGTGCCATTGGAAGTAGAGTTGAGAAAACTGATGGGATAAACTAAAGTTTTGCATAGAATATTCTAATATCTTTGGATACATTTGAGGTAAAACCATTCCATTAATATTTTGAATGCACATTATCAAAAGTATTTTACTGGCTTTATGCTTGTTCTGAGAAGACTTTGTGGCCAAGGATATGAACATACTGTTTCATGTAGTCAGACTTAAAGGAGGAAGATTGTCTTGTCTTACAGGAGAGATATCTATGAAAAAGCAAGCAAGAAATGGCATGGATCTTGTTATTTATAATTTGAGATCTGTAACTAAAATCAAATGGTTATTGAGGTGATCCAAAGCAATCTTAAGTCTTTCAGTCCAGGATGTAGGCATCCTCAAGTGTTGGACCAAAAAGGCATGCAAACACTGACTTTAGAGGTGAGGATGCTGTGGTGTCTACTGGATTAGAAGGACAAAATATGCTGTTTGTGTAAACTGGGAAGATGAGAGATACTGACATTCAGCCATAGGAACTCCTGCGTGGGCTCCACATGGCAGGCTCCCTACACACTACTGCTATTGATTGTGTTAATTTTTTCCGTTATGAAATGGGAAAGAACAAGCAGGTTACACATCATGCTAAGCCTTAAAAAAAAAAGTATAATTTTCTGCTGTTGTCTGTCTTGTGGGCTGGGACTTCAGAAGTAACTAGAAGCTGTTGAAAATTTCAAGGAAGTCAGTTATTGAACTCTCAGCTATTGAAAACATCACTTTGGTAACTCTGAGTAATCTCTGTTTTCCAAAATATTTAATGGGGAAAAAATGAGAATGCTCTGAGGCTCACTGCCAATTGCAGCTAATGCAGAGATGAGAAAAGAGGAGGCAGCAGCTGTGTCCTCATTTAGAATCGAATCTTTAAAGAAGTGGCTGTTGCAAATAAGGAAACTTTAAAATAACTGAAATGGGAAGCAAAAATATTACTTGCTCTGTTTTAGGGAGCATCTGGAGCTGTACAAAAGATGAGACAAAATCACTGACAGGACAGAAATCAGAATTTGCCTTTAGTGCCTTAGGAAGCTGGTGGAGGTGGGAGTTGTTGAGCACATTTTAATGATGCTCTACTACTGCTATTTTAGCAGCAGTACTGTATCAGGATCTACAGTGATAGTTTTGGGATGGCAGGGTAGCATGTTTACCCCATGACTTTCCCAGCCCTTGACCCTCCAACCATTCCTGGTTTTGCCCTGTGTACTGGCACATCCTCAGAGACTTCTGGGACGTCCCTTCATACGCTTCTTTTCCCCAGCCAGGGTCTGCCTTTTTGCCCGTGCCAACCAACCGATTTTCTTATCCTGCTTCTGCCTTTGCTGGTAGAGAGCCTGGAGGGCTGTGGGCCCCATTTGCCAGCCCCTGAGACTCTCACTCAAGCACGGCTCCTGCTCTCACCTTGTGTGACTAGCTCTAGTGATGGTATGCAAGCAGTTTGTCCTCAATGGCACATACAAACGTTGTTAGCAGCATCATTTTATTTTCTGCAGTAACTGATCTATGCTGTAATGCAATAATAAAATAATAAATAATGCAATAATAAAACTAGAAATGATCACTTGCTCTTTCTGGAGGGAAAAGGGTAGACCATGTGACAAAGCCCAATGCTGTACCATAATAATGGGGTTAGCTCCAGTACCCTGGGGTAGCTGTGCCAACCACATGTGCCCTGGACTTGAAGTCCTCTAAGAAAGCTGCACCATGTATATGGTGTTTGCATGATTCAGCCAACATTACTGCTGTACAGATGAGAGGAGGTGCTATGCCCAGGGTAATCACCATGTTACGATAGACTTCAGCATAGACTCCAGCAGATCCCAAGTGAAATAATGAGGGATGCAGCAAAGAGATTTTTTACTGCAGAGGAGCTATTCCCCTTGAATCAAGAACTTGTGCAAACACAGATCTTGTTGTCTTGCGTCATTTTGGTTTTTTTCTAAGCCTTTTCTCTCTTTTCTCTCACCCACCCTTCTTCTGAGATGTTTTGCCTTCTTAGTCCCTTCTCCATTCTTGCTGGCCCCTAAATCCTCACTTAATCAATCCTTATTTTCTCAACAGCCTCGTCTCTCTTCCTATTGTTCTTGTAAGATAATCCTATCCTTTCTAATACAGGATCCTAAGAGAATTCATATATAGTATAACATCCTCTTGGTATTTTCTGTTCTACCTTCTATGTCCCTGATTCTTCCTTTGCTATGTTTTGGGCTTTTGGTATTTACACAGTCTGTCCAGTCTCATTACCTACTTTCTCCCTGACGGCAAATTGCTGGCATACGTGTGAGCAGCACGCCCTTCCTCTCTTGCTGAAGCATAAGCTATCTACCTGCCAGTGGGGAGAACTTTTCTCCTCCACAAAAATGAATTGACTGCAGTTCCCTCAAGGGAAGCTTTCCAAGTGCTTTTCAAGATGAAACAATAGTTATGTTTGTCTTTCCATTTCATAATCTTGGAGAGTCTCCTTCCTATGAGTTATCATATAAAGATGTACTTCTGAGAGAATATCTGTGCTGCGTAGATGGACTTCTTAGAGCATGGGAGCTTTCTGCTGTTTAAGTTCTTTGCTTTGACATGGCAGGCATTTCTATATTCGTATTTCTGGATGCTACTAGTTTTCACCAGTGTCCACAGAGAGCACTGAGCTGTGCCACACATTTCTCTTTCTCTGCAGAAGAGGTTCAGCCAGCGAGGTTGAAACAGCTGCAGTTCAGGGAAGTGCCTGAGATGCCTGTAGGTTGCTCTGTGTGGGTCTTCAGGATGGGTCAGTCTGACCGACACAGTTGCTAAAGGTGCAATGTAGAAGCCTGCCAGGGATCCTTTGGTCAAACTTCTGCTTCTGTGGTGTGTGCATACAGTCTCTTTATATCGCAAACATTGCTGTGCCTTCAGTAACAGTTCTGGTTCACTAAACCCTATGGGACTAGTCAAGGTGAGAGCCCCTTTACAGCTGGTGACCATTGATTCAGGCTGGTGGACCTCCCCTATAGTTACAGGTACATGAAATGTACCTGTAACTATAATATAAAAGCTAATATTAAAGCTAATATTAAAGCTAATAAAAAGGTATAAATGTCGGGTTTGCTT